TCTTCCCCCCTCCCCCCCTGGTGATTCATGATGGGCAATTTGCTAGTATAAGCTATAATTGTTAAATTCTGCTTGTTGCTGAATTTTGTCTTTTTCCCAAATCTTTTGTTTTACAAACATTAAATGGGTTATGGAAGCTTACAAAAGTATGGTTTGTAAAGAAAAACAAGTCATTTAGGTTTTTGTTTTGGAGATGCATGTTTAATAGCCACCAAGAAGACTGAGGTCTTACATTACACACTTGATCCAGCAAAGTACTTAAGCACATTTGACTTTACTTCTCTGAGCAGTCTAATTTCATTCAAGGGTACTACTCACCTGCCTGATGTAGCTCTTACTTTTTGCTGGATCAGGGCCAAAGTGCTCAATGTCTTGCTGGATCAAGAGCTTGGTTCAGCTCTTTCTAAACTAAATGGTTATGATCCTGATTTAGGGTCACAAGCTTCTGTGGAAATCCAGTTGTAAAAGTTGGGCTTGTGCCACGGGTAGCTTCCTGAGCTCAGAAAAATAGGGAGCCCCTGCCTTAGTTTGATTTTGGAAATCCCTAATTCATCACAGGTTCAATTGAGCTGTCAATCTTGGCTCTTCTTGCACCTATTCTAGGCCTTCCTGTATTAGGATTCCTAAATCTGTATTAGGAGTGAGCAAACAGGCAGTGAAGCAATGCTTTACTGGGCGGAGTGAGATGGACCAGATGCATTCATGTGAAATGCATAGAGTCGTATGAACCATCCATCCACCATCCTTCCTATAAGGGTAGATGCTCAGGTTAGTAGTGTCTGAAGGAAGCACATGTTTGGTAACCGTAACCTTAAGTAAACTGTAAGTTTTTGGAATGCCCAATAGGAAAATTAGTTTTAGTTGAATGACCTTGTGAGTCTCTCAAAAGAATTGCAGACCACTTAATATTTTCAGTTCAGATATAGGCTTTTCATTCTACGAATCTGAGGAGCCTGAAGTCGAGTCAGCAATATATTTAAGTGTATGTCTGAGATCATTACTTATCCCACTATTCATTAACCAAGATCAAAGTTTTTCAATACAGTAGGAAAAATAAATACATACAGAAGTTATGGGAAGGTACAAGAGACAAATTTATCCTCTGTCTGTTTAATTAATCTGTATTTTTATATAGTTTCATAGTTTCTAGAACTATATAGTTTCAACTTTTATATACTTGATTATCCATTGTAGTGGACTTTGATCTTAATTTACCAAACTGTTTTGCATCTATTTTTTTTCCTAAATGTTTTCAAAATTTTAATTCTTCACCAAAGATCATTGATATTTAAATGCATATGAAATTATTTTTAGACCAATTAAGCATTGTCTCAAGCATTCTGCTTACAAAGAAAATTTTTTAGATATTACAACTTCAATGTCATTCATTTCACATACTGTAAAGGTAATTCAGCTGTGACCTCTTTATGCAGGAGTGTTGGTTTCTTTTATAGTTTCGCTCAATGTTAATATCAGTATGGATACAACAAACTGATAGTTGCTACTATCAGTTATACACTATATTTTTTTTTTCTTTTTGAATAAAGTCTGCATGGAAATTCTTCTGCACGAGGCATAATGAATATTTAAAGACTGTGGATTCTACTGTGTTTGCTTTAAGTCTAGCTTCAACTTCTGATGGTACCTAGAGTTTATCTCATTTTATATGAACTATTGGTAGTTCATATAAAACATTATTTTTTCTTCAAGGTATCTGTCAGTTTCTTAAAATCTGAGCTGCATCTCAAAAGGGTGGTGAGATATCAATTGGGTTATCCTTACTTCACAGATCGATGGTCATACATTAAAATGAAAAAGTTCTGGTATTATTTATTCTTATTTTAGGACTTGGAGCAGCTAAATATAAGGGACCTTACTTTTTATTCAGTGCAAAAAATATAAAACCTTACTGGCTAGAGAGAGAGAGAGAGAATGGAAATCTATGTGACTGTCCCTGATTTGCTGTGCCCAAGAGCAAGTCTCCATTTCTCTTTGCTTTAGATACCCTATTTCTACAACTTCCTTTTGAAGTGTTTTAGTCTTGGCTATTAGTCTGGATTGCATTGTGGTCACTGCTATGACTTTAGTATGTACAAACCCTACTTAGCATAGTGAAGTGCTTTCTTTTTTTATTGTAGTTATTAGATACCACTGCAACACAAATTATAAATTACAGTGAGGAGTTCTATTGAAGCATTATCATGATGTAGTGAATCTTTATGACAACTTTTACTTTGTGTCTTCAGCTGCTATAGTTAACTTCATGACCTCAAATTTGTCTAAATCTCATCATTGTATATTCTGTAGGGCTGTGTGAAGCTTCGGTCCCTGATTCGATTTGGCAGAGATTCAGTCCAATTCAGTGGCTGAATCTCCAAATCCGAATTGAATCGGAGAACCTTGAATCTCTCTGAATCGAATCGGAACTTTCCAAATTGATACAGAAAGATTTGGAGATTCAGGCATAGACACAGCTTTTAAATGTTTTTTCTACATACCTCTAGGTAGCAGGGGTTCACGAGTGTTGTGATGCTGGGGCGCATGGAGTGTCCCACAGGAGCACGGGGGGCTCCCCAGCGCACTCGACAGCAGACCCAGAAGTGGACCAGAAGCACTTACAGCCCACTTCAAGGGTCCGCTGGGGAGTGCGTTGGGCCCCGCCCTCTGCTCTCCTGGCTTGGTGACTGGTGCCTCCTGGGTCTGGGGGAGGGCACCCGGGGTCCTCCTGCAGCCGATAGCCAAGCTGGGGAGGCGCGGGGGAGGGGGGGCCAGTGCTATTGCTGGCAGACCTGGAAGTGGACTGGAAGTACTTCTAGTCTACTTCTGGGTTCATTGCCGAGCACAAGGAAAGCCCCCCACATTCCTGTGGGACGCTCCATGTGTCCCAGCATGGCAAAGATCATGAGCCGCATCTGGTACCTGAAGGTATGTAGAAAAAACTTTTAAAGTTGTGTCTATGTCCGAATCACTGATTTGATCATTGAATCGAATCACTGTCCCTGATTGGGCTGAAACCTAATTGAATAGGTCACACTTCTCACACTCCTAATATTCTGCTATTACTGAAAGTATAAACTAAGTAAAACCATTGATTCTATTGTTTGTTGTTTGTACTTGAATGTCCTAACTTCTGAGGCTTGCCTGAAATTTGTATGCATGCAAAATATACTGTAACATACATTTTGACTTGCCACTTCTATTAAGGTCATTGTTGGGTATCCCTTAAATTTATGTCAGTAAATGTACTGTAGAGGTGCAAAATGGCTAAAGCATGCAGATGAAGGAAGTTCCTTAGTTTTCACCATTTTCCTTATTTAAAAAAGGAAAGGTACTAATCTTTTCTTTCTCCTTGTGACATAGCTTTCCCTGCTCTGTTTCTGACAAACCAGTGGTATAGCATTCTCCCTCAAGTAGAACCTTTTCATGTCAGTGTGTTCCATTGTGACTTTTAATATATCTTTTAAATCGCTGACATTTAAAAACTATTAAAAATAAAACAAAACCCCCTCAAACCTATAACATAGGGAGTACCTTTGCGAAAGGTAGTCTTCATAAAATAACTTTCTTTGGGCTCTAAGCCAGATGAGCTGTTGTGCCAGCAGCCTTTTTAAGAAGGAATAGAAAGAGACTGAAGCATATTTTTCCTTATTAAAACCTTACATTGAAAGAATGGCCTTTAAACATATTCATACATACACATAAGATTTTATTTATAAAATATACTAATAGCAAGTTGCTCATGTTGCTAAAGGACTTATAACAATGTGAATTATGTGTTTCAAGGACAAAATTTTTGTGCCTTTTTAGTGCTGCTCTTCTGCTTAATCTTTAGAATGCTTTAGAACTCATTTTGCTCACTCCATTAGTTAGAAATTTCTTTGGAAATAAGTGCTTCTTGCATCCTCTTTGTTGAAGTGCACGCATATGTGCATGCACGGTGCTCCCTGTGACATTTCTGATTTTCCTTCTGGTTGAAGAGGTACCCATCTTCCCCCAATAACAGCACTATGTTCTGTTATGAATGCACTTATTTAAAAAAAAAAAACCAAAAACCCTCTAAAAGTGATCAGATTTGGGATTACAAATAATGTGTGAAATAAAGAAAGGGTGTATTTTCCATGTGTCCTTGTAGATATTTAAGGCCTGAAGAGGAAATATTCTGATCAGCTTGACTGAATTGTAGTGCAGACATAGAATTCCATTAGTCGAGACCGTGATGAGATGTGCCAGGGTTTTGAATTTGGGGAATATTTGGAATGAGGGCTTAGTTGAAGCTGTAGTCTAGTTTTCAGCAAAAGAATAATTTAATATATATTTCCCACTGCAGAAATTGCATGCTGATTTTACATGTATTGGAGCTACTAGCAGATACAAATCTTGTTTTTTGTTTTGGTGATCACTTTAACACAATGTAATATTGGGCTGATACTTTACAAGGCTGTTGACATTCATAGGAAGTTGGTATGGGTATACAGTGTTTCTGAGAGAGAGTGTCAGTTATTGGTTTAATTTTATATTTTTTAATAGGACACTGTGTTAATAGCTGGATTTAATTTGGCAACATCACCTTCTGCAAGTGAAGATGGCAGACATTGCTGTCACTTGGAAGTGTCAGAAGAAGCTGGATCAACCATTTATGTATGTGGCTAAGTATGTTTGCTACTTTAAGTACCCAGATCGGCATTGATTTGTTATTTATCTGAAGTGAAACAATGAGAGAGAGAAAAAGTTAATCACTATAGGTTTTGCAGATTCCTTGTCAAGAAATAGCCAATTTTAGTGCAAAACCTTGAACATTTTCAAATGCAAGAGAAATCTTACGGTACATTAAAAAGTAAATACATCAACATTCCTTACTGTATATTTATGTAGGCAACATTTAAAAAAATGGATCTAATCATTAAAGACTTTACAGTAATGTTCACTCGGGCAAGCTGCAATTTTTTTCTAAGTCCATTTTTTCCAGCTGGTGTAACATGTTGCAAAATTTACGGAGTAAATTACAATATGCTTAGTGGCCTTGGTTATTACTGCTGTTTGTAATATGGGGCAGGGAAATTCTCCCATCAGTGGAACAGAGTGATAGGGCTTTTAGAGTCCTGAACCCAAATGGCAAATCTCCACCCCGCCCCCTTCCTGGTTTTATTTGTTGCCTAAAGACCACTATAAGCTCCTATCTCCTCCAGCTGCAAGTTTTGTGCTGTTTCCTAGAGGCACACAATAAAATTAAACCTTAACTATAATTTTCAAACCCTTTCTTTTTATCTGTGCAGCACTAAAAGTTATGTTAATCTAGTGTTATAAATCTTACTTTTCTGGAAAAAAATGTGTTTAAATATCATTAGCATATATATAAATGTTGTTGACTGGATGCTTGCTTTTGAGATGTGGAAGTAATGATTACCTTCTTTTGCTTCTGGCTGGCTGGAATAATACGTCAGCAGAACATCTGTTTACGTAGGAATGTCTTTATCTACAGTAGAAAAGATAGAAATATTTCTTAAATTAAACTTCAAAATTTGAGTACTACAGAGAGCAGTGAAAATTATGAAGAGACCCAGATACTCTGTGTGTGTATGGTTTTATTTCCATTTCAGTCTTGTAACTTTCTCTTGTTTTTCATAAGCCAGTCTTTAATAATCTTTGCTGTATATTTCAGTGAGATATGTCCAGTATTACTCATGTAAATTATTCAGGCAGCAGTTTCAGGTATTGCCATGCTAAACAGGGAGCCTTACGATTTTTTTTCCCCTACAAGTACCTAATATCAAAGAAGGTAGACTGCCTTTTGGTGTGTTGATAACTATTCTGAGCATACTCTGACTTTTTGACTACTACCAACTTGCATTTTAAATTTTCCCCTTACTTATAGTTAGGGGTATAAGTTGTAGCTGTGCTGGTCTAAGGACTTAAAAGATATCAGATTTACACAAAGAATGTTGTCTGCCCTTACCTGTAGAACACCCTAATATACGGGCAGTTATGGGCTAAGTGTCAAACTTCAAACTTTTATCTGAATAAAAGTTTTTAATTGATTTTTTTTTTTTTTTTTTTTTAAATGAGAAGAAATTTTTAAAATTTTTAAAATCAAAATTGTTGAATGAAATTTCCTCAAATGAACCTCTGTGGAAAATTGTATAAAGTCATAATACAATTGTGAACAATTACAAATGTGTTATAATGCAACCTGTTATTGTTCACAGTTGATGAAAATCACAGCGAATAGAAAGCATAAATACTATAAAAATTAACATACATGAATAGTGGCTGGGGAAAGTCTTAGTGACTTTGGGAAAGAGCCACGAAGGGGCTCAGGCATGACAATGTGAGCTTTCCCACACTGCTTTCAGGCACCTGGCTCTGCAAATACAGGACACAAACCCTAGTTAAGCCCTATATTTTAAACCGGGTAGAGGTAGAAGAAAAATGCCTATGAAGGAGATTCACTGGTGAGTAAGGGAACAGGCAAGTCATCCAACAGGATATGCTGAAAAGAAGGGTGAGAAATCCTGTTTTCCCTATCTTAGGTACCTACATGGAGCCTGAGTTAAGCATGTGCATAGGATTCACAGCCTAAAACTCCCTGCCTAGACTTTGGTACTCTGTGTACTGATGTCTGGTTTGTATTTTTTTTTTCTTCTGAAGTGGAAACATGACTTTGTAGCACAGTGATGGTGGTGCATCCATGAAAAGGGGAAGGCCCCGAGATCTTTGAATTGTTGTCCTGCACTTGTATGGGGTTTACGTGCTCAAATTCCTTTGTGAATCTTGTGCTTTTATACTAGTTTCTTGATCACAACAAACCACAAGCCAATTTTAAAACAACTTTCTGTAATTATTTTAAAATAAAATAATACTTTGTGCAGTCAAAGTAGTTGATGATCACAGCACATCTTCATCATTGAGGCATCAAGTGGCTATAATATGGGTAAAAATATTCAGGGAAGATTCACTTGCCATGGGAAAACTATCATACCTGCCTGGCAGCCATGACTTCTAGCTTCTGCTTCCCAATTTAGGGGATTTGTCTGAGTATGGTTCAGAGCTGTATTCCACTATAGTGATCCTCTGCTGACAGGAAGAGTCTAGCATAGGATCCTTTAATGTCTTGTGTTTTTTTAGTGTCCTGCCTTCTGCTTTGAGTATTGTTAGCACCATTAGCAAACTCAGAATATGGCTTAGAAGAACATCTAGCTCTGTTTAGTATACTGTGAGCATTTTTTAAAGAAAAATCTTACGAATCACTAAAAATGGAAGTTAATTTATCCCTTGAAGAAGCTGTAGAACTCGCACAAACCAAATGTACCATGTTTATAAAACCTCACCAAATCTTTTTGATCTTTTAATAGATTTAATATATCTTTTTATAGATTGTTTATTTTTATAATATTCCAGTATAGTTGGAAATAAATATGCCTTTCTATTTCTCTGTATAGTTTTACTCTGGGTGGTTTCATAGATTATGCACAAAGGAAGAGGAAAAACATTTTGTTGACTTATTTTGTAGAACCTGAAGTTGGACTTGTCCTTTTGTTTGAGAATAAAGATTTTTTTTAAAATGTCAAGCAGTTTCAATTTTTATTTGTTATACTATTGTATTGTGTTTTCAAATTTGTAATCTGTGAATCTGCTGACCATTTCTTTTGCTCAGATTTATACAAAGTCGAGCCCAGTCACTGCTTCCGAAATTGCATCCACGGTAAGTTTACATTTTTGTCATTTTAAAATTCAATAGAACATTAAAAAGATTCACTCTGAGTTGAAATGAATGTGTGGAAAACTTCTGTCTCCTTTTCTAGTAGCTACTTTTTCAACAGCCATTTCTTTGGTTCTGCATTTTGAATGCATGGAAAATACACTAAACCAGTGGTTCTCAAACTTTTTTTTTCACAGACCACTTGAAAATTGCTGAGGGTCTTGGCAGACCACTTAACAAACTTGTTTTTGTTCTACAAATCAAAGCACACAACTCCCGTTTTATTGTCAGTAGTCTTACCTCTCTAATGCAGCGGATGTGCCTGTTTTTTTGGGCAAAGTTCTGGGAAGTTGGGTGTAATGTTTATCAGCCTTTGCCTTGGGTCACTTTTCTGCAGACCACCTGAATGGAGCTCGTGGACCAGTGGTGGTCTGCAGACCACAGTTTGAGAACCTCTGCACTAAACAATTTGCAAATAATATTTTATACCTTTGTAATATATTTCCTGCCAAGATCTCAAAATTTCAGTCAGGCATGTTCAAGGGGTATGCATCCAGCTGGGCTATGCATGTGTCCTTTGAACATGATAGCATGTGGGGGAGCCTGAAAGTGGAGAGCCACATCCCTGACCTCAGACTGTGCACCCCAGGACATACAAAGCTGTGCAGCGCATTGAAGTTGTGTGGCTTTAAATGTCCAGGTGTGTGGGCTGCACTATGCGTTTTCAAGAGACAAGGGGACTTGTGTCCTGGACTGAGGAGCTGTTTCCTCTACTCATTTCCTACCAATGAGCTCATTCTGTCAATTAGCTGCATGTCTTTTAAAAAATGTCAGTTGGAAGGTGGGTGGGGTTTGAAATTGGGCATGTTAAAAGGGTATGCATGCAGTTGGACTACATATATGCCGAAGGATCCTTGGACTACATATATGCCGAAGGATCCAACATGCCAATAGGTGGGAAGCCTAAGATTAGGGAGCTGCGCCCTGGGACATTTAAAACCACACAGTGTACTTCAAACCTAGGCGGCTGTGGCATTGATTCCTACACAGTCAGATGGATAGCAAATCGGCTGAGGGGTCGTACTCAGAGAGTGGTGGTGGACAGGTCATATTCGACCTGGAGGGAAGTGGGCAGTGGAGTCCCCCAGGGCTCGGTCCTTGGGCCCGCACTGCTCAATTTCTTTATTAGCGACTTGGATGACTGGGTGAAAAGCACCCTGTTTAAATTCACAGATGACGCTAAGATTTAGGGTGAGGTGGGCATGCTAGAAGGGAAGGACAGATTACAGCAGGACCTGGACAGGTTACAGGGGTAGGCAAATGAAAATAAGATGGGATTCAATACTGAAAAGTGCAGGGTACTGCACTTAGGCAGTAGGAACCAGCAGCATACCTACAGGCTGGGGAACTCTCTTCTCAAAAGCACGGTGGCAGAAAGAGTTCTTGGAGTCATTATTGACTCCAAGATGAACATGGGCCTACAATGCGAGGACACATTCAGTAGGGCTAACTGTACCTTGTCGTGCATCCACAGATGCATCACAAGCAGGGCCAAGGAGGTGATCCTTCCCCTGTATGTGACACTGGTTAGGCCGCAGCTGGAGTACTGCGTCCAGTTCTGGGCGCTGTACTTCAGGAGGGATGTGGACAGGATTGAGAGGGTCTAAAGGAGGGCCACTTGTATGATCCGGCGACAGCAGGGCAGACCCTACGAGGAGAGGCTACGGGACCTTAACCTGTTCAGCAAGAGAAGGTTGAGGGGGGCTTGGTGGCTGTCTATAAACCTACTGGGGGGACCAGCAGGGATTGGGAGAGACCTTGTTCCCCCGAGTGCCTCCTGGAGTAACAAGGAATAATGGCCATAAGTTGTTAGAGAGTAGGTTTAAACTAGACATTAGAAGGCACAGTCAGGGCGGCTAGGATCTAGAACCAACTTCCAAGTGAAGTGGTGCTGGCTCCTACCTTGGGGGTTTTTAAGAGGAGGCTTGATGTTTACCTAGCTGGGGTCATTTGAGCCCAGTTTTCTCTCCTGCCCCGGGCAGGGGGTTGGATTAGAAGATCTACAAGGTCCCTTCTGACCCTACATCTATGAATCTATGAAAAATTGTTTGGTTTTAAAAGTCTCAGCATGCAGGCTGCATTATGCACTTTTTCAAGGGACAGTATGTGGTGGTGTCCCAAACCTGGGCCTTCCCCCGACCTGATCCCACTGATTAGCGGTATTAAGGAAGGACAGCCTTCAGGTTTGGGACATAGCCACACTCTCTCTGCCCCTTGAAAAATGCATTGTGCAGCCTGCCATTGGGGAACTGGCTCCTTGATGCCAAGCTGCACCAGTGCATGGGGTGCCTGGAATTGCAGCTCCAGCCTCCCCACAGCAGCATATTGAAAGATGCTCTCTGCAGCCTGGCATTCAGGAACCAGTGCTGAGCTACCCAGCAAGTCTTTACAGGTACATCCACACATGCAAGCATGTGCACTTGCAGCAGCTCAAATAGAAGCAGTGCAAATTTGAGCCGGGGCTTTTTGCCTCAGCTCACATTCTCAGACATGCACTTTGGTGTGAAGCAAATTGTGCCACTTGGGGCAAAATAACCTGCCTGGATCCTCCCAGAGCTGCAGCCAGGGGGAGCTAGAGCCTGGGGCCAGCACCTGTGCTGTCGCTAGCAGTATAAAAAGCTGCCTTGTCCTGGCCCTATCCATACGAAAAGCTGCCCTGGCAAGCAGCTTGGGGCTACTCACTCTCCAGAGCTTCTGGGGCCCACCCAGTTGATACCTGGGGACACTACCCCTTGTGCCAGCTGGACTGCTGTAGCAGCATCCCAAATCCATTTTTAAAAATACCCCAAAATCTATGTTCTTCCACATTTAAAACAAAAAACTGCATGCACACGCGCGTGCACACATGCACACCCCTAGAGAGAGACAGTGATAAGTTGGGTAATGCTTTATTGGTATATTTACAATGTTAAAGCAATTTGGAAGCCTACCAGTGTCTCTATCATGAAAAAATAAATTCTAAATACCTATATGTGTTGATGTGTGCTTTTGGTTTTCTTCATACATGATGGGTATGTGATGGGGGTGTGTGGTGTTTGTAGAAAGGGGGTGAGAAGGGTTGTGGGGGAAGGTGGGTTGGTGTATGTGGCGGGATGTGGTTTGGTCTGTGGGTAGGAGTGGGGCAATTGCTGGGGACACTGTGGGTGTGGGGGACCTTGTGTGGGGGCTGCTCAAGAGGGATGGGTCCCTGGCCCCCATGGGATGCAGGCCCCCCCCCCCCCCCCCCC